AGCTGCATAAAGACACCTGTCCACCCCACACAATCAGTAAGACTCCAACTACTAACATGGCTAAGACCAAAGAGCTGTTTAAAGACACCAGAGACAAAATTGTAGACCTCCATAAGGCAGGAAAAGGCTATGGGGCAATTGCCAAGCAGCTTGGTGAAAAAAGATCAACTGTTGGAGCAATTATTAGAAAATGGAAGAAACTAAACATGACTGACTGGGGCTCCATGCAAGATCTCACCTCGTGGCGTATCAATGATCCTAAGAAAGGTGAGGAATCAGCCCAGAACTACACGGGAGGAGCTGGTCCATGACCTGAAGAGAGCTGGCACTAGGGGGTGGGCGATATGGCTCAAATATAATGTTGTGATATTTCAGAGTATTCTGACAATAACGATAAATTTCGAGATATAACAAAAAAAAAGAAATCATAGTTATTCATTTGACAAAATTAACTTAACATGTTGCTTTGCAGTATTATATAAAAACAAAACAAAAACCAAGGGGTAATTTTACTGAAATTACTTTTAGTAAAGTATTCCGTCTCAAAGTATAAAAATAAAAATGATCCTTCTGTTAACAACAAAGTCTATGCTCAATAATCCAGGTATACAATCCAACATTTTTCAATCAGGTCATCTGGACAGTTTCTTTTTTTTTTTTGTGCTGAGACCATCTTAGCACCAACATAACTGGTTTGTTCCACTTTGGAGTAAGCTGTTGGGGGAAGAATCAGTTTTGTGTTGTGCGTTTCCTTGAAGCCTTCCGGATGGAAGGTGAAACGTTTCAGCACAAAAAAAAAAAAAGAAAAAAGAAAGAAACTGTCCAGATGACCTGACTGAAAAATGTTGGATCCTTCTGTTATTTAGATTGAAAACGTCTGCACAAAATATAGATCAATAAATCCACCACAAAAACTAAAATGCAGGTGAAGTTTCCCAAAATAACTAAATAAAATGAAGCTTAAGATCTGTTGAGCATAAATGTAACATACAACAAATATATGTTGCATTTAAATGAGCTAACTTCCAGAACTTGTGACAAGGTGATCAGCTGACCCTGAAGCTTGTGGTGTTTCAGCTTCTTCTGTTCCTGCAGGAATGATTCATTTCTCTGATGCTCTGTCTTTCATCACCGGACTCTGTTTTTGGTCCATGGACCGTGGAACTGAGACAGACCTGCACGTGTTTGTACCGGCAGCTTAGAGCTGGGAGACGTAGCAGAGAGCTGCGCCCGCACCGGCAGCTCAGAGCGGGGTGTGGGGGGAGGGAGAGATAGCTTAGCTGTCTGTACCTGCAGTTTAGAGCTGGATGGAGAGATGCAGCTGAGCCACGCGTTGTTTGTTTTTAGCTTTTTAGCTAGCTAGTATTGCGCGTGTTATGCCAGTACCGACAGGTGGAGGGGGGGTGCACAGTTCGGTTTGGTCATTCGGTGCGGTCAGTTCTGTTAACGGGGCGGGGCGCTTGACGTATTACGTCATGAAATTAGCATATCATGATATTTATTTGCCCGGGCAAGCTTTTTTTACCGGTATTATCATGAACGATAGGATATGGCCCAGCCGTAGCTGGCACCACTGTTTCCAAAGTTACTGTGGGTAATACACTAAGACATCATAGTTTAAAATCATGCATGCCACGGAAGGTTCCCCTGCTTAAATCGGCACATGTCCAGGCCCGTCTTAAGTTTGCCCATGACCTCAGTGAATCCAGTGACCTGGTGGTGGAATGTGAGGGACAATATGCCACTGCTATCAAACTTGTCAACCAGGTATGTATGTCTGTGTGTGCAGGCATCATCCACACCTTCAGAGTGAACATTTTCTACTGCTGGAGACACCATCAGCCAGGAGCAGGCTTGTGTGTGTCCAGAGAAAGCAGACATGTTGATTTTTCTGAAGAAAAGCTGTTCAGTGAAAAGGTCCTCAGTGTGTAGCAGTGAGCATTAGACACTGACGCGTCACTGGTTTGCAACTGTTATTTTGACCTGGAAATTATTTATTTTTTACGTAAGAAAACTGCTTGGCATGGAAAAATACCAGTTAAAAATAAAACTCAAGATTTGTATTGTAATTTTATTCTTGTTAAAATTGATATTAAGTATAAAACAGGCACCGAAAAAAGTATTGTTCAGGAACAGATATCAAAGTGAAGGTATTGGTACCAGTATCAAAAATTTTTGATTGACACCCAGCCCTACGCAACAACTATAAATAGTTTTAACAAATTTGAATATCCTGACATACCATCCATGTTTGAGTGTTCACCGCAATATTTCACAAAACTATTTACTCTTACGTGATACAACTGAATGTGTCTGAAATAAAGAATACTGGAGTTGCAGATGGAGAAGACTGTCCTTTAGTCCCAAGTTAAACAGATTTTTTTATTATTATTTACAGCCAGTGTGTCCATGTTTTCTTTGAAGTACAGCGAGGCTCCATCCCATAACCAGCCTGTGTTCAAATAGTGCCTGCAGTCAGCTTTTGCTTTGCAACGAGGACAAATGTGGATTGAGCACAAGACATTAAAAGACTGTTCCTCCGAGTAATGCAACAAACTCCAGTGGGTAGCAAGTCAGAAAAGTAGCTTTTTACAGCCATGTGGTCTGTTTTACCCATTTGCATCTTTCTATTTAAAGGCAAACAAGATTTATGGAAAACATTTTCCTACATAGCTGGTTGTCGCTCTGGATCTCGCCATCTTGTAATGACTTAAATCTACCCGTCTTAAGTTCTAAAAACCAGTTCTTTAAGCATAATGCTGTAATAATAACACAAAAGAAAATCGGAACCGTGCGAGTATTTTAGGTTTTTTGAAAAACTGTATGATGCTTTTGTCTTGCACGTTTTGTGTATTTATATTTAAGCTTTCAGAACTGAAATAAAAATGACATCATCAACCAAGATGACAGGTGTTGAGCCTGTGTGATATAAACAATGATTTAAAAAACCATGCAGGTTTAAATGCCACTTCTGTGGAGTAAATAAGCAGTAGTACAGAACTACTATTTGCAAACCTGTCATCTTGGTTGATGATGTCATTTTTATTTCAGTTCTGAAATAAAATTTTAAATGAATTTTAACTAGAATTTATGTCACTTTTCATTACTAATAAAAACTAACCAGACCATACAAGCAGTAACACTTCTAGGTTATCTAAGGATCTGGATGGTGACAGCCCTTCCAACTTCTCTAAATAATTGCTCAGCTACAAACACAACAAACAAGTTCCTCCTGCCATAAATCTAGATAATCATCTTCACGGACCAGAGTTGAATGTCTGAGCAAAGCCCACAAAACATATTTTTATAAGTTTTTATGTCTATTAACGTCGTTCTAAAAGTTCTCTGTTACGTCCACTAATCACTGGAGACCAGTCCACTTGTGTAACTACCGTAACACGAAAGGAAAATGCGTTTAACTGAATCTGGGTTTGTGTGTGTTTATACAGACATCTTCAAACTTGATATAATGTAAACTTAAAGCAAGACTAAAATGTTGAGTAACGGTTCGAGAAAGTATAGAAAGAATATGTTGCAAGTGAAGTGAGAGTATTAAAAACAAACTATATACTGATACAATTTACAAAGGATGTTAAAAGTTGGGCTTTTTTGTTATTTAATGATATTTTTATGTGCACTCACCTCACTGCAAATAGATTCTCCAGTAGGATTTAAATAGTTTACTTCTGTGATGTTTTGTTGCACAAAAAAATGGCAGCACGTTAAAATAACTTTTTCTTAATGCTCCAATATCCAGCAAAAATAGGTTTGATTGATTGAACACCTTAAAAACCAGTCTAGTTTTATAAAAGTAAATCTTCACACTGAAAAAAAAACTCTTTGCCTTTAACATAAAAGTGAAATTAAAAAAACGTATAAAAATAATAAATAGGGGCCCCGATTTCCTTAATTATGGGAAATTGGGCGATACCTGCATGAAACCGATTCTTTTAGTTTTAACAATTGTCTGAACTTCATTTATATTTCAGAGCACTACCACATGGCCATTTAAAACAAGTTCGGATTGTTTCTAGGATATTGTTCAAGGGTATGATTTCAGTAGAATAATATTATAAAATTGAAGGTGCATTGTGACCTTATAACACCTGACCGTGTCACTTATAAAACAAAATCGGAATCGGCAGATCAGACTTTAGAAATCGGTGATCAGCCAGAAAACTGCCATCGGTGCACTCCTAAAAGTTTTATTATTAATAAAACTTTCCCAACAACTTCTGCTAAATTTATTTCAACAACAGATTAACCCTCATTCAATTTTTACAATAACTAACTAGACATTGAATCCCTCACTTCTTTCCAATGAAGTCATTAATGACTCAGCTATCTTAAATGTTATTAAATGAAAAGCTGAAACTTTTAAAATTGTTTTAAAGTCCTGCAGGTCCACCACCAGATTTTCTTCCAAATCAGCTGTCTTGTAGTGTTTAGCTTACAAAAAACTGCCTCGTTCATTCATTTAGGTTTCCATTAGACTGCACCCTAAACAGAAATACTGAACAATCTGAACAAACTACAAAGTGGAAACGATTTCTGGTTCTCCCCTACATGAACTTCTAAGGCCTGTTAACTAAACCAACATTACCTAGCGGCGAAACACGATCATCTATTTACTCGTGATTTAAAGCAGATTTATTTAGAATACTAAGATCCTCCAAGCCTCCGTTAGTTCTTCTGTGTACAACAGTATTGGCGACAAACTAATGAACATTACTGCAGTGTCAAGAAGCTAAAAAAAAAAAAAACGAACAAAGCCAAGGCCAGAAAATGAATCCCCGGCCTCGATTTTAGCTTCGCCTCTCTGCCTGCGACTAAATATAAGCACCAGACTACGACAATACCGACAAATCAACCAGCTTCAATAGCTGGATACAAACCCGATTAGGTTAAATGCATAAAACACTGTTAGTAAAGGTTGCAGGCTTTAATAATAATTAATATTTAGCTGCGCAGTGCCGCATCCCTCGCATGTAAATACTGACCGTCAGCCCTGCAGCGCTGCTTGTTGTTGTCGCCTCCCCTCCGTCGCCAGCCTCCGGAGCGGTCAGGCCGATCACGCTCACCGCCCGCACCGTTCCTCGGAGCAAGTCGCGGGCCCAGGCAGCGTGCTCCGTCTCGGCTCCGTTAGCGGGCCTCTCGTCGGCGAGAAGCAAAATCAGACGCTTCCCGATCAATTCGAGAGAGTCCCCCATGGTTCGCTAACAAGCTGCTTTCAGTCAGCCACCATGAACAGTTTCAACTTCTCCGCTCGGGATGATGGGAACTCAACGAAACCGTCGGAAAACTGCTGCAGCCGTTCTGTTCGCGTTGATAAAGCTCGTTTCGGTCGCTGCACCTGCGGACACGCAGCGGCGGACCGAGTCACGTCAGCAATTCACCCAGATAAAACGTTTTTGTCCTCGGTGTTAACACGACTGCCTACCCTGCTCCGTCCGCCATTGAGCCCTGCAACAATCAAACGCACTCCTTCTGGTGGGCTGGCGCCACTGCGGAGGAGAGGAAGACTTAAGGAAACAGCGGCCTCTAGCGGCGCGCCTGCGCACTACACCCTCCTGTGTTAACCAGCTGCAATAACTAAGAAAAAACACAATAAGGTCAAACTAAAAACGGTTTTATATCCCAAATAGTTGATTCAGTAGGTTTTACAGTAACATAAATATACTGGTGGAATGTCTCAAAACCTGATGTAGATTCTTACACTCTAAATGAAACATAAAATTGATTTACAAACTGCAACATCAGTGGAATACATTAGGAACATGTTAACATAATTTTTAGAAATGCCAAAATATCAGACTTTCTATCAGCTTTAACCAGCTGGGTCAGTCAGACTATAATTTACATAAACAAAGATGTTTTTAATGTATGCACTTGAACAGATACAGCATTCGACCTCTCCCTGGCCCACGCAGTCATCCCGTCCTGCCTAAAATCAACTACCAGTACCGAAGAAGTCCTCCATCATCAGTCTGAATGATTATCGTCCTGTGGCCCTCACTCCAGTAATCATGAAGTGCTCTGAGAGCTTGGTTCTTCAGCACATCAAGAGCCATCTCCCGACTCTTACCAGTTTGCATATCACGCGAATAGGGCCATAGAGGATGCAATCGCCATCGCTGTTCACTCTGCACTGAGCCACCTGAACCATCAGCAGAGCTACAGTATGTCTGGATGCTCTGTGTGGATTACAGTTCAGTGTTTAATGCAGTCATCCTGGACACTCACATCACCAAACTGTACATTCTCGGCCTCCCCTCTCACGTGTTCCTGGGTAAAGGAGTTTCTCATCAACCGGTTCCAGACTGTGATACATGGCTCCCCCATCTCTCCTCCACTCGCACGCTGAGCACCGGCTCACCACAGGGCTGTGTGCTGAGCCCCCATCTGCATCGTCTCTACACCCATGACTGCAAACCAGCCCACAACAACCTCATTATCAAATTTGCTGACCCCACCACACAGTGATCAAACTCCTCCTAAAGAGAGATGAGACAGCTTACAGGAAGGAGGTCCTGAAGCTGGCAGCCTGGTGTTCAGAGTAAAACCTGCCTCTGAACACCAAGAAAACCAAGAAGATTCTCATCGACTTCATGAGGTACAGTGCTGACCCAGCCCCCCTCTACATCGACAGTGTGTGGAGAGGGTACACACCTTCAGGTTTCTTGGCGTTCTGATCTCCGCTGACCTCTCCTGGACAGACAACACAGCGGTCATCAAGAAGGCTCAGCAGCAGCTTCACTTCCTGAGAGTTCTCAGGAAGTATAACCTGGATTCCAAACTGCTGCTGACCTTCCATCGCTCGTCCACTGAGAACCTGCTGACATACTGCATCACAGTATGGTACAGCAGCTGCACCGTGACAGACAGGGAGAGGCTCCAGAGAGTAGAAAATGCAGCACACAAGGACATTGGATGCCCTCTCCTCTCCCTGATGGATATTTACATCTCCCGCTGCTTGGCAGAGCAAACACGTGATCAAAGACCGCTCTCACTCCCTGGTTTTGAACAGTTTGATATGTTGCCCTCAGGAAGGCGCTACAGGTGCAACAGAACAAAGATGAACAGACTCAAGAATGTTTTTTTGTTTTTTTTCAAGAGCCATAACCATTCTAAACACATGCACTGACTAAACTTCCTTAGATCTGGACTTCCTTCTTCTCACTGCTTTTACCCACCTACTGTGCATTGTTTAATACACTGCCTGGCCAAAAACAAAGTTGCCACCTAAAAAAAAGTCACACACTAATATTTCGTTGGACCGCCTTTAGCTTTGATTATGGCATCCATTCGCTGTGGCTTTGTTTCAATAAGCTTCTGTAATGTCACAAGATCCATTTCCATCCAGTGTTGCATTAATTTTTCACTAAGATCTTGCACTGATGACTAGGCACTAGGCATGATGGGTGCATCACTTCTGCCTCTCTTCTTACCCTGATACGTCCATCACTCTGGAACAGGGTACATCTGAGCTCATCAGACCACATGACCTTCTTCCATTGCTCCAGAGTCCAATCTTTATGCTCCCTAGAAATTTGAAGCTTTTTTTTCCAGTTAGCCTCACTGATTAAATTGTGATTGACTGCAACCTCAGCTGGGGCAACACCACCACCAGCCTGATGAAGAAAGCTCATCAGAGACTCTACTTCCTCAGGCGACAGAGGTGAGCTGGACTGGGAAGCTCAGTCCTCACTTTCTTCTTTATTTTTGTTGGATGTAACTGGGACCCTGTGTACACAGTTTCGTCCCACCTTATGTTTCACGTATGGGGTGTATGACAAATAAATCTCTCTGACTCTGAT